CTGGTTTACGAATACACCTTAATTCATCATAGGATGAGCACTAACACTTTTCGAAGCGCTTCAGATCACGACAGTCTTGTTACGTCCTTTTTGACCGACTTCCCAAAAGAAGGAGGTACTCAATTCGTCTGTATGTTTTTTTTTAAAGTTAATTGTCACATGTAATTTGGATGTTTAAGCACTGACTTAATATTATGAGAGTTTATTTAATTAAACAAGAACAATTAACATAAAGAAAAGGTTTAACGTAGGCCGACCAGTAACGTCGAACTTTATCCGAAATGTTGTAACATTAATCCCATTTATAGCTACAGTGTGGGCAGAGAGATATATGTTATTGTCCAATACCATATGTGGTCACTCGGTTTTTAACAAGACTGTTCTAAGGCGCCGAGTTTGACCTATAATTGTGAATAGAACCTTGTTAATTGTTTGTAGTAATTTTCTTAAGAATTAAGAATAAAAACAACCATAGCCTTTAGATAATTATGGGGTGAACAGGTAAATTAAATTACCGTTTAAAATCGAAATAACTTTGGATGGACCCAAAAAAACCTACAGAATTATCATTCAACATATACTAACACGTTAACAAATTCACTAAAAGGTGCCTAAAATAAGACGTGGTCACTTTTTATTCTATTTATGGGACATTTATATACAAAAGCTTTAGTCGTATATGTAACTAAATGTAAATTTTATAGCCTACACATTTCATGAATCATTCGTTATACCGGAGAAAACAACCTTAAATATCATCGGATAATGTTTATGATCTTTTAATTTAAATATCTTTTCATAGGCATGAATTCTATTTTATTTCAAGAAAATTATTTTCTATGATGAAAGGTTTTTATAATTAACTAGCTTTCGCCCGTGACTCCGTCCGCGTAGCATTGAAAAAAACAAAAGTGAATAGCCTATGTGTTCTTCCAGACTATCCACTACATCTATGCCAAATTTCATTGTAATCCGTTCAACCGTTTAGGCCACAATCTCTAGCAAACATCCATCCATCCATCTAAACTTTCACATTTATAATATTAGTAAGATTAGTAAGAAGTAAGATGTAATAGCCATTCTGTTTTAGAAATTTTTGCACAGAGAATTTTAGCTAATGAATTGTTTGTTTTCATTATCAACAACAAAACGATTAAACACAGCATTTAGAAAGACGTAGAAATTTTTTACAAACCGGTCACGTGTCACATAAAACTACATTACTATGTTTACGTGACTTTCAAACTATTTAGGGTAATGAGAACAAACACAAAGCGTGCAGTGAGTAGTGGGCACCGTCTGGCATTGCGGTGACGTATCGTATGTCGGGAGATAATGCGAACAAACGCAGGGCTTAGGTTTCATTAACGCTTCCAGCATCCAGTCATGGACGAGAGAGCGGGACAAAGTGCTCGTAACGCTGTTCCCTTTGTTATATTGCTTTAAAAAGTTTCTGTGTCCTGTGTTTGACAAGTTCATTGTTTTACAAATTCATTGTAAAATTGTGCTTACAATAGATATGAAGTTACTACACTGTTAATTGTCTTTTACGGTATGGATTTTATGTAAATACTGCCACAGTTAACTAAACAGTGTATAAATTTGTCAAATGTCTTGGCGGAGCTAAAACCATTCATCTCTTCATTACTTTAGCATTAAAAACTATTAATTTCTTGGTTTTTATATTGATGTTCTTGTGTATTTTGGTGTATATTCTGTGTCGTAATGTGTTTAACTTGTTACCGACAGCGCGGCAGCCAAAAATACAAAACACTTATTATAAAACAAACATATCTTTATTTTAAAACTTATTTAC